GCCAGCGCCGCCTCGGCTCGTGCCAGGCCGGGGACCCGGTGCCCCTCCCGGGGCGACCTCCGCGCAGCAGGGGCAATGCGGACCGTCCCGCTGACCGTCTAGAGCTCCTCACCGCCTCCTTCACCTCTCGCCCCTCCACCCCGGGCGAGGACGGGCGGTGGCTGCCCAGAGGTGCTCGGCTGCACCTTCCTTCGGCCCCAAAGGACCTTCCTGGGCGCACCGTACCGACCCTTCCTTCATGCTGCAGTGCTGCAACGTTTCCGCCACCGAGGGGGAAAAGCGGCGGCGATCTCAATCCAAACACAAGAATTGGCGTGTGACTCATCTGCTTGGATACCTCCAGTCCTCAAACTGTCTTCCAGGAGTTTTCTTGGCTGAAGCTGCTCGATGGTTGAGCCTTTTCTTCCCGGGGAAGAAGATGGACTGAAAGCTGCCAGTTGGGGACTTTCTGTGATCAGGGCGCTGCTGGGTTTTGAAGGCGATGATGGGGCTTGCGCTGGCTTGTCTTCCTATCCCAGCGAAGAGTTGTTGATGTTCACTGGTTATGCTTAGACAATGCGCAGTTTGTTTTAATTTAACATTTTGGGCGGGGGGGGATAGGGGTATAAGCTTGTGAAGGGCAGCCCGGATCCGGAGGAGCTCCTCTTTGTCCCTGGTAGGAGAGACACCCCCAGTCTGTCCTCGATGCCGTCAGCCTTGGCCATCTTCACTTGCCGTCCGAACTCGCACCCTTTTCAGGAGCGTCATGTCTACCTGGACGAGCCCATCAAAATCGGCCGCTCTGTGGCCCGCTGTAGGCCAGCGCAGAATAATGCCACCTTTGATTGCAAAGTGCTGTCAAGGAACCATGCTCTCGTCTGGTTTGATCACAAGACAGGCAAGGTAATGTCACCACATTGTCTAACAACTTTACTTTTCGTATCCTTTTGCCCTCCCTGAGAGGCACAATGTTTGCAGGGCCCCAAAATTTGGCGCTCAGAGAACACTTTGAGCAAGGCCACAAATCAGCTGTTTGTGTGCCTGGTTCTAGTGGAAATTTAATTGAGGCGGTTGGATGGAAAACTTAGAAGGTATTGTAATTAAATGCCTCAGGAGGGCGATGGCATCTTGATAACGTGGTCATTCCCCGTGAAATCTCAAACCCTAATTCGTTTCGGAAAACTAGATAGTGAAACTTGGCATCTTGTTTTCAGTCTTTTTAGAAAGGTGAATTTGCAGTTTGTTGCTTTATTAAGCAAGCAGCAGTTCCCAAAGTAATGCCAGGAATCCGTGGCCGTTGTTACACTGGGGCTCGAGTGTCTCAGTGGTGAAGTGTAGTTAACTCTAGCTTGTAGCCAGGTTCAGATCTGGGCCTCTCTTTGCTTGGGCAAACAACAGTTTGGATAGGTTTGATTTATAGTTACCCTTGAAGGAATAAATTGGGATAATTGGAGCTAATTTAATTAAGCATGAACAACTGTAACTTTTTATTTTCAGAGTTTTGTTCATAAGTTGGATAAATATATATGTATTGCTTTTGGAAATCACTTTTTGATGTTCACTGAAGCAGAAATACTTACAAAGGTGATATTTAAAAATCAGTATTAGGAAATTAACTTATTTTCTGAAATTATTCAATTCTATCAATTATAACATTACCTAAATGTGATAGGATGAATTCAGTGCTTTTCATTTTAAGTGTAATCCTTTTAGCATTTTTATGTTGTACTTATATTTTAAGAAATGAAGGGAGAAAAATTAAGATCTTGAAAAGCTTTTAAAAATTCTTTGTGTGTGGAGAGTACACTGAAGAGCTCATCTTTGTCCCTAAACCTCAGGTTTTTGTTGAGCTACTGAATCAGTTCCAACTTTAAGTTATGTAAGACTAATAGGAATATCTCAGGTTTCACTGCCTTTTTGCCCCCTCTTTCTGAGTTAAATGATTAAGTCTTCTTAATAGAAGAATTTAAGTCTTCAAGATTAGTGTTTTGAAATGAAAGAAACCTGAGCCTCGAAAGGAAGAGAGAAAGTAATACCTCTGCAGCTACCTAATTATGGAATTATTATATAAATTATTTTTTAAAGAAAGGAGGAAAAGATTGTCCAAGTGTGTAATACCTATAACCTTACTCTGTGTCTACATAGGATGAGAAGGGAAAAGTATGTTAATTTTTCTGTATAACACCAGGTGCTTATTTACCTGTGAAACAGATCTTTTTTTCTTCCTGGAAGCTGAAGTTTAGGTTCCTCAAAGACTTCATAGATTACATATAATCCTTTAAAATGAATATTCATAGACTGCATATTTCCAGCTGTCAAATTCAAACATTAGTTAGTGCCTTAACTCAACAAACTTTTACATTTTTGCCTTTTTATGTCCCTGGGCAACAGTTAGGTCCAAACTAATGAGATAACAGTTTGCTCACAATAAATACTCTGCAAATGCACTTTCTTTGCTTCAGCATTCAAAGGAGAGTCAGATTTTTTCTTCACTTGTTTGAAAAATAATGATTTCATGCACAGTTCTTCCCATGGTTGTACTAAAACCCTCACAATAGGTTATTTTGAGATTACTAAGAATAGATTAATAGTGAGTATTTAGCTATGAATCAATAAATGTTAAGATTTTGAATGGAATTTGTTATATAGAAGAAGTTATCTTTGAAAGATAGATCACTTAATGTAGTTACAAAAACACCCTGTCACCTCTTGCAATGTGACCAAATTGTTTTGGGAATTAACTATTTAGGGTTTGGGTTGGACAGACAGTATGTTTTTATTTAGCATCTGAGGATGCAGTTCCAACGAAATCCCACGGTTTGACCAAATAGTTATTGTTTTCTGTATGAAATTAGCAATTTGAGGATTTCTGCTATAATTGTCTCATAACAAAAGTCCCTGGGCCTAGTATTGTATTTCCAGCAAATTCCTATGTATAAAACACAAGAATCCTTTCTTATAACTATCACCTCAGACATTCTTTTTTTTTTTTTTAAAGCATCGCTAAAACTGAGTTTTCTCATCTGGGGATAATAATGGCACCTACTATTGTTTTGAGGACTGAGAGAGACATGTAAATCACTTAGAACCCTATGCCTGGCTCTTATTAAGAACTCCAAACTAGCAAGGAGGGCATTTGGGAAGGAGAGAGGGAACCATCTAGACCAGTGGTCCCCAGCCTTTTTGGCATCAGGGACCAGTTTTGTGGAAGACAGTTTTTCCATAGACGGGGGTAGGGGGAGTGGTCATCAGGCATTAAATTCTCAATAGGAGTATGCAACCTAGATCCCTCACGTATGCAATTCACTATTCACAATAGAGTTCACCTTGTATGAGAATGTAATGCCGCAGTTAATCTGACTGGAGGTGGCAGCCTGGGGTTTGGGAACTCTTGATCCAGACAATACTTTCTAATTTGCTATAGTGCTGTGGAGTCTTAGGAAAGTAAGAGAAATTATTCTTTAACCTGATGGCATATGTAGAAGTAATTTTTTTTTGAGTCAGAGTCTTACTTTTGTCGCCCAGGCTGAAGTGCAGTGGCACACTCATGGACACCCCAGTGTCGACCTGCTGGGCTCAGGCGATCCTTCCACCTCAGCCTTCCAAGTAGGTGGAACTACTGGTGTGTGCTACCATGCCCAGCTAATTTTTTGATGTATTGTAGAGATGAGGTCTCGTCAAGTTGCCGGCTGTTCTTGAACCCGTAGGCTCAGGCAATCCACTCACCTCAGCCTCTCAAAGTGCTGGAATTACAGGCTTGAGCTACTGTGCCTGGTCTTAGAAGTAATTTTTAAAATTGAAACTAGTAAAGCTGATAACTTTGTCCAAATTGGTACTTTATTTGGGAAGTGTGGAAAATTGGGGTGTAATGTGCTCTTTGGTTGGCTTTCAATTTGTAGGTGACTGTTGTATTCTGCACTGGCCATTATGGGAAGCCCATTAAAAGCTGGAAGAAAAATACTTGCAACTTTCTGATTATTCAAGTGATACATATTCATTATAGAATATTTGCAATATATAGGCAGGTAGAAATCTAAGTAACACTCTCTAGTGCTAAGTTCATGGAATATCTTACTGTACTTAAAACTGAATGTTGGAGGGTGACAGGTTTGTCACAAAGTGGAGTTTAATAATCTTTCCCATATTGTCTCAGAGATGTAGCAGTTGGATATTATCTGTGTATCAACGACCTTCACTCCTTTTGGAGGTCAAGTTCTTCAAACTGTGTGGCAGATATTGGAATAATTATTGATACTTCTGTTGACTCAAGATATCATTGACCAAGCAAATCTATCCATGTTGTGGTTACATAGAAGGGACAGGGAGTGGGCCGTTGTGATTTGGATTTGATTTGAAGCTTTGGGAACTGGTGACAGGCTAGTAGTTGACAAAGTAGTCTATTTCCCGTCTCATTGTAGTTTACTTAGTAGTAGTAGTTGTCATCTACTTTTAGTCTCATTTTTAAACTTAAACTCATGCATCTTTTTTTATTTTTTTATTTTTGAGTCAGAGTTTTACTCTGTCGCCCAGGCTGGAGTGTAGTGGCACACTCACGGCCACTGTGGCCTCAAACTGCTGAACTCAGGCAGTCCTTCTGCCTCAGTCTTCCAAGTAGCTGAAACTACCGGCATGCTCCACCACACCCAGCTAATTTTTTGATCTTTATTGTAGAGACGAAGTCTCACCAAGTTGCCCAGGCTGGTTTCAAACCCCTGGGCTCATGCAGTCCTCTCACCTCTGCCTCCCAAAGTGCTGGGATTACAGGTGTGAGCCACCGTTCCTGGCAACTCGTGCATCTTTTGAGCACCTGTTCCATCATGATCTGTTTTCGTGAAGGGGGGCATAGTGGTAAGGGGGAGGAAGTGATAAGAACTGGTAAGAAATTATTAGTCCTTCTTTCTAGGAGCTTATATATTAAAGAGTGTGACCATGCACTTTGAAAACATTCAATTGAGATAGATGATATTACATATTATTTAAGTATAAATGGTAAGAGTGATGACATTTGGCTTTAAATCTGTGGTGGATGGATAACAAGATGAGGTAGTGTTTTGGTGTTTTTATTTGTTTTGAGGAGATGAGAGTAAAGGAAAACAAACAAAAGCAGATAATTTTAAGCAGGCTTGGCATTTTTCAAACACTAAGGAAACTGATTTTGTTGGGTTGGAGAGTTTTTTTAAACATCCATTCTGTGTGATGTTGTTTTTATGTTTGTGCCTTTTCTTTGTAATTAACTGTCAGAACCCCAGAGGAGAGGGACTCTGCCTTATGTGTCTGCTTCCTACTATTTTGTATAAAGCAGATGTTGAGTAAGTGAGTAGATAGTGTGTGTGATGCCAGGTTGTGGAGTGCCTTGCTTACAGGACATGGACCTTTGTATTATGGAAGACCAAGGAGAATTCTTAGCAGAGCACTAACATACCAAACCCTGGGCAGCGAGACTTCATCTCTACAATAAATCAAAAAATCAGCCGGGCATGGTAGTACATGCCTGTAATTCCAGCTACTCGGAAGGCTGAGGCAGAAGGATCGCCGGAGCCCAGCAGGTCGAGGCTGCGGTGGCCGGGAGCGGCCACTGCACTCCAGTCTGGGCGACAGAGTGAGACTCCAAGTAAAAAAAAAAAAAGATTGATACAAAAACAGTATGTAGACTGGGCTGGAGCAAGGAAAAAATGTGTAGCAGCTAAACTAACATTTGTGTCCTAATTATGTACCATACTCTATTCTAAATGCTATACATGTTAACTTATTTAATCCTTAACTCTTTAAAGTAGGTGCTTATATTTGACTTATGAGGAAATCGAGACACAGATCTTGGTCATGCTCACATTGCTAATAAATGGTAGAACCCAACCTCATAACTACTATGCTATTCCGAGGCTTTGTACCAGATATGGTATGAT